GATGTGGTCGATTTGGGTCCAACGCTGTGAAGAGGTTGGCGGTTTCCATGTAAGGCGATGTCGTTTCTTGTGCGGAAAGTCGGTGCTTGAAAGGAACAATCCGTGGTCCGCACAGAGTTGAAGTAGGCGATCTCCTTTGTACGTCCCGGCTGGCATAGCATGTAGCCACCAAGAAGCCTTTCTGTTTCGTCCGGTATCCACTTGAGCATTGAAGTCTTCAGCGACTAACACGATGTCCGTTGATCAAACAATTTGGAGTATCGGGCGCTTCGTTTTTCGGCTGCTGAACCGTTGAGACGTAAAACGCACAGTCGATTGCTGACCGGAATCCATTCAAGACCCGTGCGCTGAGCCTTGGCACTTAGGGGCTACTCGTAATAGTCTCAATCCTCTCAGATTAATAAGGAGTACAGGTCCAAGGAAGGCAGAAGTAAGTGAGGTAATTAAGGAGTCCGACGGCACAGTGATTCATATTAAGCAACGCCATGAGCATTGATGGGCAGAACATTTCAAGGAACAGTTCATCTGGCCCTCGTCAACACAAGAGCTCCATACACCCACTTTAACTGTGCAAATACTGCCAGTTGACGTCAGTCCTCCATCTGAAATGGAGGTTACCCGAAAATAAGCTACCTCAAATGCCATAAGATCACCGGCCCAGACGGGCTGTCTCCATCGGTTTTGAAGGATGGAGGTTCAGCCTTGGTTTCGGAGTCAACAAAACTCCTGGGCTCAGTGTGGAAGAGGTTCCAACTGGATGGTGTAAATCGGTGATCATACCGATTTACACGATAGCGGTGACAGATCCTCCTGTGAAAACCACAGAGGGATTAGTTTAATCAACACTGCATCTAAACTTCTCGCTGGTATCATACTCTGTCGATTGTCTGCCGCACGTGAACGGTGCACGCGTGAGAACCAGGCTGGTTTCAGACCTAGTCGAGGCTGTACCACATCCTCACACTTCGTCAAATTCTAGAACATGGACACTCCTTTGGTAGAACCACCATTTCTATCTTCCTCGGATCTAAAAGCGGTTTTCGACTCAGTCGACCGCTCTAAACTCTGGCGCTGCCTTTCCCTGAAGAGAGTGTCTGAGAAGTTAATTTCAATATTATAATCACTTTATAATCATAGCCGAAGCCGAGTCCAAACTTACGGCACTTCTTCACCCGAGTTCACCATGGAAAGTGGTGTTCGACAGGATTGTTCTCGCTCTCCGTTGATATTTAACTTCGTGATACATTCAATTCTTGAAACAGCCGTATCCTTGTTTGAGGATAGCGGTGCCGATTTAATCCCAGGTGGCAGACGCACGAG